TCATAATTCTGCTGTGTATTTTCACTGATTGTTACCCATCTAGGTGTAGTGTTACTTCATTTTTTGTCAACCATCTTTATATATCAAACATCTTTATGAAAGCATGAGTAGATCTCTACCTATTTTCATTTTCACTGAATAAGTTGTTTATGTTCTCATGCTCTGGTAGCCTATATAAAGCACACAGACTTTTTTTAATCATTCGTGAATATATAAGCCTAATGCCTTTATGCCTAACTACATTAAAAATATACATACATGAAAAATTTAAACTAACGATATATGAGAAAACAAAGCTAAAAGGTAAAATAATTTCAATATATGTTACAAAAAATTTTTAAATATCCATGTTCTATAAAGAGTTTCCACAAAGGATAATTTTATAAAAGTTATAAATAGAAATATAGGAAAAACAAATACAACAAGCATTTTATAGGAGAAATACAAATGACCACATTATGTAATTGTTATTCCTAATAATCTAAAATGTAACAATGAGGACAACAATGAGATATCAAATTAGGAAAAATCCAAAGGATTAAAAACATCCATTTTGGTCAGAGTATGGGAAAATAGATGCTCTGATCCATTGTTGAAACATAAATTGGTATAACCCTTTTGGAGGGTAAATATTAGTATGAATATAATCTTTGACCACTTCCATTTCTGAGACACTCTATCCTTTAGCACATTGACTGCCACACTGGAAAAAAAAATTTTTTCCTTGGAGCCATGGTGTTTTATTATGAAAATAGAATAAAAACTTGGGAAAAAAAATGATCCTTTCTAATTTAATGAAAAATTTATTTTTTATTTTCTGTATTTTTGATAAAAAAGTGATATAAAAACTTGAAAAATAGTAATGTAAAAAGTAATGTGAAAACTTGAAAAATAGTTCATAAAGGTACAGTGTTTTTCTTGACTTGTCAGGCTTAAGTATAATTTATTTATTTATTTATTTATTTAGAGACAGAATCTTACTCTATTGCCTGGGCTAGAGTGCCGTGGCGTCAGCCTAGCTCACAGCAACCTCAAACTCCTGGGCTCAAGCAATCCTCCTGCCTCAGCCTCCCGAGTAGCTGGGACTACAGGCATGCGCCACCATGCCCAGCTAATTTTTTCTGTATAGATTTTTAGTTGTGCAAGTAATTTCTTTCTATTTTTAGTAGAGACGGGTTCTCACTCTTGCTCAGGCTGGTCTCAAACTCCTGAGCTCAAACGATCCACCCGCCTCTGCCTCCCAGAGTGCTAGGATTACAGGCATGAGCCACCATGCCCGGCCTAAGTATAATTTAAAGTTAAACATAAACAGAAAAAAGAAATTTATTGACTTCTATTCATTTAATCCACATTTTTATAATTAAATTATCAATATTAATTATAACAATAAGAACATCAATAAGTAAGATTTCTGCGAACCAGCTTCAGGGATTTGCCCAGGTTTTGCTTCACGAGGCCCTGAGCTCAAAACTTGCAGAGTTAAATACAACTCACGTGGCAGTTAATGTGTTAAAATATTTATAGAAGTGTTAGAAATATTTGTAGAAACATAAAAATATAGAAGAATATACATCAATGTGTTAATAGTGGTTATCTCTGGAAATGAAGGAAAGAGGCAGACAAGGTGGGGGAGTCTTTGAACTCTTATTTGATATCTGTATGTCATTTTGCATTAATAATTAGAAATAATTAAGGTAATTATTTTTAACAGCTGCCCTATACCACTTAAATTTGTTCCCATCCACACACCATTAAATTTTAGTGGGTGTAAGTTATTGTTCTCTTAACTAATTAGTTTGTGTATAGAGTAATAGTCTCCAAAGGAATGGTGGGGAGGGCGTCTATATGCCACAAAGGAAAGTAAAATGAACAAGTGGGATATTATAGAAAATAATACAATATCTATTCATATTCGTCTTAATTCTCATCCTTTTTTGAGACAGAGTCTTGCTCTGTTGCCTGGGCTAGAGTGCAGTGGTGTCATCATAGCTCACAGCGACCTCAAACTCCTGGGCTCAAGCAATCCTCCTGCCTCAGCCTCCTGAGTAGCTGGAACTACAGGCACCCACCACCATGCCCAGCTAGGTTTTTTTTTTTTTTTTTTTTACTTTTAGTTGCCTGGCTGATTTTTTCTGTTTTTAGTAGAGGTCTCGCTCTTGCTCAGGCTGGTCTCAAACTCCTGACCTCAAGTGATCCTCCTGCCTCAGCCTCCCATCATCCTTTTTACATTGCTATTTTTAAGCCTGCTATTGTAAAATCAAACATAGACATGTATATTTTAGTGAATTATTGCAAGGTGAACATCCTGATAACTACCACCCAGCTCAAGCAGTACAACTTTGTTGCCTACTCCAGAAACCTTCTTCCAATAACAGCTCTTTCCTATGCAGTGTTTTATTGTTGTTGTTTTTAAGATTTTTATCACCCAAGTGTGCCTTCCTGCATACTATAGCTTGATCTTGCTGCTTTTTGTGTGTTTTTTAAGCAGATAATTTTAAATCTCTTAATCTATGGTTTATTCCTTCTTTCCTTACACTTCTTAGAATTTACCTAGTGAAGACCTAGATCATTTCACCTGTAGTTTGTTATAGTCTGGATTTCGTTGACCATGTATTCATGATACAGTTCAACATGTTTTGCTGTCTTCTGTATTCCCCATAGATTAGGAGCTTGATCCAGAGGCATGGTCAGATTCAGGATTGATCTCTTTGTTATGTTCTTTTGTTAGGAGGAGCATAATGCCTCGTTTTTTTATCTTTTTTGATGCTAGCAGCCATTTATGCTCAATGCCTAGATCTATTAATTCACTGGAGGATGCAAAATAGAGATGTCCTAATTCTTTTTGTTTTTAATTATTCACTCGAATGATTTTATAAGGAGTCACTTCCCTTCTTTTACTATTCACTTACCCAGTGGTATAGCTAATACAGGAATATCTCTTTACTGTAGCCTGCCTTAGTAGATGGTAGAGGAGGTAAGGAATATGTTTCCAGGTAAAGTGTATCTATAGTTTGCCTTATTCAATATGGGGTTCTCAGTCCATGCCTTCTGGGGATCATTCTGAATTCTAATTCCCTGTCCCCAGTGTCCACAGTTGTTATTTTAGACAGGCTACACACACTTCTATTTCCTATAGCTTAATCCAGTTGGGGTGGAATTGTGGGATTGGTAGGAGCTAATTACCTTAGCTGCTCCCTCCCTGATCATCCTGACAGTAATTTGAGGGCCCTTTTATTTCTTTTATCCATTGTCTGTGCACTTACAGACTTTGTTTCTGTTTCTACCTCCACATAGAGCAATCTCTTTTGCGCATAGTTTGAGTTGTGGTTTCTTGGACTATTTTTGTTCTCTTCTCTCTCTGTAAATCTAATCTTATCCACTTTATGTCTTTAAGGAGTCCTCACAGTGTCTGGTCCATTGATAACATATGTTCAAATGTTAAGATTGTTTTCAATTATTACAGATTCTTTCTCTTTTCATATATCTGATGTTTTATAAAGTTGAGGGCAGAAGGGCTGATAGGAGCATATAATTTAGTCTTCCATGTTTTAGGATCAGTCTGCCATCTTATCCAACCTTCTAATTGATGTTCTTTAAAAATTGATTTAAGACTGATAATAGTATACAGTAGTGCTAGTTATTGATAAATAAGGAAAAACAACCAGACAAATTAGATGTATACTGTTGCATTTGACCACTTATGTATTATCCTACCTAACAGATGAATTTAATAAGATTTTATATAATTAGAAGTTATCGAAACTGCATTTTAAAGGATTTATTCTAAAAAGATGATTATGAAATCTTGTTTATATTTTGATTAATTCTATCTTCTGAGCAGATGAATGGTAGGAGGTAAAAGCATGCTTGCTGTGTTAGGTTGCCTGTAGAATGTTTCAAATGAAAAAGCAAAACTGTTTCAAGGTTCATTAGCATTTAAGAAAAGTGTTTTTATTCTATCCATTCTCTAATTAATGCAGGTTAGCTATTCAAATTGAGGCATTCATTATGAAAACTCTTAACTCATTCTTCAAGGCACAATTCAAATTTTCTTCTCTAGAGTCTTCCAAACTCTCCAGGAATTTTTCTCTTCTCTGTACTCCCATGATGTTTCTAAATGTGTTATGTAGGACTTCTTATTATGTTTTAAATATTGTTTTGTTACAGGTTCCCCTTAACCAAACTCTGAACTGCTTCATGTTTTATTCATTTTTGCAATCTTAGCATCACATTTACTCAGTGATTGGATCTTAATAGTTTTAGAAATGGAAAAATGGATACTAAGTCATCATTTACAAAAAGAAGGCCTTTGATTTCTGGATTTTAGCTTCCTACTCCAAAAAGTCAGTTCTAGTCATTAATGATTAGAAATCCTGAGATCATTTTTATCTTAAATTAATGAATTTTGATAATGAAACATTTAAGTTTGTCCTTTATTTTTGTGTAGTAACAACCATTTGAGTTTATAAATATTATACAATTCTGTGCTACCTTTAAAAATGTCACGTTGTATTAAAAAAAC